AAGTGATCGTAGTTGCGCCGTTTCCCGTGACTAATCACCTGGTGGGGATTGTTATGATAAATTTCTCGGCGTCGCATTTCTCTCAGATAGGTGAGTAATTTTTCACTACTGTGGGAGGAAGAAGTGATAATGGTAACCATAAGTCTTTCAATCAATAGTAATCGATAAGGCCCTTCATAATAGGGCACAGGAGGAATTCAAAAAGATAAAAGGGGGGAAAATCCATCCCTACCCAAATAGCAATAGCGAGAATGAATGATGAATTGTGGTCATTCGATCGGCAAGACGACACACTTTTTCCAATCCATTCATTCTTCATTTTTACTTTCATTTTTCATTTTTTCTTTCATTTTTCATCCTTAATCGATTGCTTCGAGCTGTAGTGGCAAGATGCCTTACTTTTCACAATTGGTCGCTTTTTTTCTTTTTCAAGTTGGGACTAATTTAAAAATAATTTTTATCAAGAAATGAACTGAACGCACTTGGATAGAGACTGAGCTCATCGGCGGTAAGTCGAGTGATTTTGTTGTGTGCAAGATCCAATCGTTTCGTTCGAGGATCTAACAGTATTGGGACACTTCGCAAAGTTTGAGCATGACATACGGTAACACTTGAAGAACAGTCACATCCCTTTTGACATCCACTAACAGCTGTAGTGAATAGCAGTAATAATAACATCTGAAAACTGTGTACATCAGATACTGTAGCGATGATTTGGAAGGTTGCGTGAAACATTGAACGGAAAACCATATTCATACATCAATTGATCAATTGATTGAGAAATTGTAGAAATCATTGGAGAAATTCCTCTCTTGGAGAAATTTCTCTTAAGAGATGGAAATAGGGAAGAAATGGACATCGAGAATGATGAAAAAAGATTTCAAAAGTAGGTAAATGAGTTGAGAGAAAAGGAAATCGATAGACTTATTCGCCCTGACTGAAAAACGAACAGGCGGCGTTCATGGGAGTAGACCGGAAGACCGTTATGGCACGCGAGCAATGCAAACGAGAGAGGATGGAGATAATTAAGACATTGAGGAATTTGTTTATGTGCGAATGTGATAATCCGACTGCCAGATTCCAGTAAACATAAGAAACGTGGAGTAAACTTACAAAAAGTAGGTGTACCATACAAAAATACAAAGTAGTTCAACATAAAAATGAGTTATGAGGAATTCCTAGATGTGATTGGAATTTGCTGAGGAAGGAAGGAAAAGGAGCTCCAAGGGCCGACTCAGTCGACAGAGACCCCCTGCATGATCATGATGACAGAGCTGAGGTTCGATGTCAAAGAAGCACCGACGGTGCCACATAAGTGAGTGATAATTACTACGAAGATCTCAAGATCTCAGACCGACGTCGTCCTGCAATATGAATGTCTAAAGGCGTCAAAAGCTGATTGGATGTCAGTTTGAAGGGAGTAATCAACGGATCAAAGGGCAATTGGTTCAAAAGAGGTAGACATTGGCTTCCATTGGACTATCATCCACTCTCAGACTGCTTCCCACATTTTATGACCGTCATTTATATGCTGAATGGGAAATGCTGGGAGCAGTTCCTGAAGGAGCCAATGAAGTAATTCCCGAGTAAAGTTTTCATGCTTTCCAGAGGGAAGGGTGAGAGCAGGGAGGGTGAAAAGGGATGGTGAGGGCAGGAAGGGTGAGACGATCACTACATTGTGCAGTTTGTCGACAGAGACAGAAATTAAGAAGTTTACCGGTGATAGGGGTAATAAGGCTATAATGATTGATAAAAACCTAATGTAGTTAGTGATAGGAGTCACTTTTAATCAACCTCTTCGATTTGGAAGACTGCCTTCTTCTCTAGGGGCTTAGAAAAAGCTGATTGAGCCAGTTTGCAGGAACAATTGGGGAGCAGAGAAATCTCTCCAACATCTCTGTTGGAGGAAGGTCAGTTCAAGTTGTGGTGATCTCGTAGCTGGCAACTAGATGTTCTAGCGAGGGTCCTCAGCCGAATCCTTACTCTATCCTCAGGTTCAGTGTCTTTATCAGACCCGGAATCATCTCCTATGATCCGATGACTGAAGAGGAAGAGATAGCGATCGACATCATCGAGGACGTTCAACATGGGTTGTAAAGGTCATTAGCTGGTTTCGTGACTCCAGAAGGTTCCCAGGCGCTTACAAGAAAACAAAGCTGTCACCTACGGGAAAGGCCGTTGTGAGAAATAACAATCCCCGGACCAGCTACACAGGCGTACAGATTAATAACTGGTTGGGAATCTGATTCTTAGTCTGACTTGGTCTTTTTCGGAAAGTTTGTTGGAGTTTTTTTTTTAAATTAGAGGTCTTTCTATCCAACGGACCAGTTTTGCAAAATTTCACATCGACCCGATCTGGAACTAGTTAGCGGCCTTTTTTCTTGAAGATTTGATTAATGAACTTGGGCAAGAGAAGGTCGTTCGAGGACTTTCAAAAGGTTTTTCCGTCATCTAAAAAAAACCGACTGCTTTGAGATCCTTCGATCTAACGGACTGCATACGGTAACAGTAGCACATTTGATGGCAGAATACAGTATAGAAGAGGAAGGAAGGGTGATGAATACGTGGAAAGGAACCATGACCACCTGCAGACCGATAAATACCCATCTATCACCTGGTGATCAGCCATCATTGCATATTAGTGACCGGGATTTATCTCCTTTAATCCCCATGAACTATCTGTCGCGGATCAATCGATGATGGGACATGGACAATGGCCGTGTGTTAGGCAACTGTAGTAATACAATAGGCTTAGGTAAACGGACGGTGTTAAAGCAGATTAGCAAAGCAAACCACACCTTCAGCCACCCCAGTTATTTTGCAAATTTATTATTGATTTACTGCATTTCGCTGCTTTAATAAGCTGCTCTGATTTCTTTGATTTTGAATTTCTATTACAGGGCTTGGAAATTGTCCTCGGACACGCTTTA